GGTGATGACTAGCTGCCGTCCCTCTAGTCTTACACTGCTAAATTAGGGACTGCTAGCGCAGATAGCCCTCGTGTAGCTTTGCGCGAAATTAGAAACAAAATAGATACACAAAATCTCACGAAACTGAGATGGTCCTGAAGCGAGAGGTTTTTAATACTTTTTTTTGTCATAAACAGAAGAAAGAAATACGAAAAAAAGGATTTGGGAAAATTACTAAAATTGTTAAATTTTTTTTAAAGCATATACATAAACATTTAGTAGCAGACAGATTTAAACATGAAGGAACTCATGAAAGTGTCGAAACAAGTTCCCTGTACAAGTCGTTAGTTTGTTCCAAAAGTGTCGTTTTGCCTTTCTTTTTTTTTAATTTAAACACTTCTTTCCTGAACATAGAAAATTCATCCTTTCCAAAGAGTTTTCGTGATTGAAAGTAATAAATTATTGTGCAATGACGCCTCAAAAAATAGTACATAATTTTGAAGTGTATTTTCACTGACTACAAAGAGAGCAGTATTCTTGTAGCTTGGCATCATATATTAGAAAATTCTTATCTGTATGTATATATATTATACATTTATATGTTTCTTTATATATATATATATATATTCATTTCAGTAATGCCCACACGTGAAATATATGCGAATTTGTTTGTTTTTCACTATCCCTCATCCCAGTGTTCATTCAGATTGTTTATATACAGGACTATTTACACTCATAGAAATGGCAGACGAAATATAGTTCCAAATGTTTGAGAGAAACGTGGAATTTTTAGGCCTAACTTGAACCAGCGTGAATCCGCATGTGTCGATTAAGGTTTCCGGACTGAGAGAATCGTAGAAGACACAGTTTACACTGATACGGCTTTTCCCCACTGTGAATTCGAAGGTGTTTTGTTAGGGTTGAACTGTCAGAAAACGCTTTCTTGCACATGCAACACTTGTACGGCCTTTCACCGGAATGTGTGCGCATGTGCGTGGTGACTGAGGAACTTTGGGAAAACTTTCGCTCGCAGATCAAGCATCGGAAGGGTTTTTCACCACTGTGGGTGCGGATGTGTGCCGTTAGGTTAGCTGCCTGGGAGAAAGACTTGTTACACATATTACACTGGTAAGGACGCTCCCCAGAATGTGTGCGCATGTGCGTTTTCAAAGTGCTCGGCCGTGCATAAGTTCTGCCACAGATTCGACACAAGTTAGGCTTAGTGCACGACGATATATCTTCCGTGATTCCTGTCTGGGAGATTAACTGGGTGGAGCGTTGAGTAACAGGCATGATTCGTGTTTTAGGCTTCGCCGCGACCAGGGGATGTTGATAGGTGCACTCGGCGTGTTTTGGTGGTGTGAAGTAATCATTCGTGGGTTTGAGTGGAGAAATATTGGTTGGGAATCCTTTTTCCAATGGCGGAAGGGTTACGTTATCACCCGGCCGTAATTCGGCTGTGATTGTGTATGTCCCTGCTGTAAGTTGTGGGTTATACACGGGAGACGGAGATGCGTAACCCAATTGGATTGGCTGCGAATAACCCGTCTGAATGTGAGTAGATCCATAGTGACCAGGTGTCGCTCCAGAATCACTCCATTGGACTTGAGACTGACCTGGTCCAATGGGACTCGCGTGAAACTGCTGATCGCCGTATCCTGGAAGCCCCATAGTCATATTCATTGATAAATTGACACTCATTGAAGCAGGAAACATTGCCCCTCCCTGTGGGGGAGCAGGCTGTGAAACACCGTTACAGCCACTAGTACCCATAGGTGGGGAAAGGGGGGTGTCTGCTCCATAACATATGTTGCTTTCGGAGCCGAGGGGGTTATTGCTAATCATCTGAAGCTGAGTGTAAGCATTGTTGGGGGAGTTAACACTATGAGGGGGGTTGACTCCTCCAAAGTTAATCTCCACGTGGCCATAGTGAGAGTGTGACACTGGTGATAATGGTGACAACCGATCGCCGTTTGGTAGGTATACAGTCGAGGAGGACGATGCTATGGGAGGTGATGCTTCAAATCCAGCGTCCGGATATACAACTTCAAGTCCAGCGTCCGGATATACAACAGCATTCCTTAAAGACAAAAGAACGTCCGCCACATCATTTCCGTAATTTCCTTTCTCTTTAATGACAGTCGAATAATCCCTATAAGAGAATCAAATATATAAACATCACAATTCTGTACATGAAAGAACAATAAAACCTGAGTTACACCCACGAATGTATCCAATTGCTTGATTTTGAAAATCTTACCATAAAATAACTTGACATTGATACGTGACCTTGACGTCATCAGAATATAAACGATGGCAAAATTTGAGAATAGGGGTGGCCCTAAAAATATAAAGATTTTTCTGGGGGGGTGGCTTTCAAGTTTCATTGAATTCTTTTAATTGAAAGTGTTCTGGGGGGACTCTCGGGACTTGATTCACGAACTTACGCGAAAATTGGCATGCACCTTTGAAGAAACGCTCAAATTTACACCTACGTTCCAATTTTGGAAATTTCCATATTGGAGACACCAGATGGGGGATCAAGGGTGGATTTGGGTACTCTCGGGACAGGCCGCATGGATTTACTTGAAAATAAACAAAAACGTGCAAATGTTCATTCAAAGTAAAATATGTAATATTCTTGTTGTTTCCTGTGAATATTTAAGGTACTTTCCTAGCAACCAATAAGAAATCATTAACTCTAGATATATATATATATATCTAATAAATGGGTCATTGTTTCAATCAGTAGGCCCTATATCTGTCAGTCTAATTATCTTAACCATTTTCGTGACACAAAAGGATCAAAACAGTAATTTAGAAAACCAAAGAGAGAGGTAAGAGACAATGTTTCAGCATTATAACCTGCCGAAAAATGAGCGGGAAAATGTACCCGTTCCTGTGCACTATTACAAACCTTTTTGTCCAAATTACGAAACCCTATAACCCCAGCGCTTTCAAAAGGTGTATCTTTCTTCATTACGAAGCGCTCGCACTAATGGTTTTCGTATTTTTTGTCTTTAAGTTATTTTTGTAGCCTACGTGTTTTCCTAACCTCACGACTCGAAACTTTTTGCGTTATTCTAAATGATACGTGTAGTCCACCCTGTACTAGGACTTCCTCAGTCCACCCTGTCCTAGGACTTCCTCGGTCCACTCTGTCCTAGGACTTCCTCGGTCCACCCTGTCCTAGGACTTCCTCGGTCCACCCTGTCCTAGGACTTCCTCAGTCCACCCTGTTCTAGGACTTCCTCAGTCCACCCTGTCCTAGGACTTCCTCGGTCCACCCTGTTCTAGGACTTCCTCAGTCCAACCTGTCCTAGGACTTCCTCAGTCCACCCTGTCCTAGGACTTCCTTGGTCCACCCTGTTCTAGGACTTCCTCAGTCCACCCTGTCCTAGGACTTCCTCAGTCCAAACTGTCTTAGAACTTTCTCGGTCTACACTGAAATAGATTTCACGTCTTGAGGCATTGCCTGGTGGTCAGGGCAATTGACTCGCAACCTGCGGGTCATAAGTTCGAACATGCTCGCCCTTTCAGCCCTGGAGGCGTATAATGTGATGGTTAATCCCACTATTCGTTGACAAAGAGTTGGCGGTGGGGGTTGTTGACTAGCAGCCTTCCCTCTAGTCTATCACTTTAAAATTAGGGACGGCTAGCACAGATAGCCCTCAAGTAGCTTTGCACGAAATTCAACAAACAAACAACATATTATCTCTCAACGGACTACTTTCTACATTTTGAGCTCTAACTTAACAAACAACATATTATCTCTTAACGGACTACTTTCTACATTTTGAGCTCTAACTTCTATAATTGTCAGCGTAAACTGTCTAACTATTTGTTGGGTGGCTTAGTTATATTAATCAAAATATTTTCCTCAAAGAAACAAAAACAGTTAATTGGTAAATTTTCTGAAATTACAAATTGGTGATTGGTCAGATTGTTAAAACTACCAGCTGGTGATTGGTCAGATTGTTAAAAAATACCAGTAGGTGATTGGGCAGTTTGTTAAAAATACCAGCTGGTGATTGGTTAATTTGTTAAAAATACCAACTGGTAATTGGTCAGATTGTTAAAAATACCAGCTGGTAATTGGTTAGTTTATAAAAAATACCAGCAGGTGATTGGGCAGTTTGTTAAAAATACCAGCTGGTGCTTGGTCAATTTGATAATAATACCAACCGGTGATTGGTCAGATTGTTAAAAATACCAACTAGTGATTGGTCAGTTTATTAAAAATACCAGCAGGTGATTGGGCAGTTTATTAAAAATACAAGCTGGTGATTGGTCAGTTTGCAGAAATTACCTTCCCTCTTCGAATGTCCTTTTAGCGCAATATGTCTTAGCATACTAAACGCAGTTCAGTAATGACAAAATATTACACTAATACATAGTAGCTACGTTAGTCTGGAAAATAGGTCATTACAGATGAGGAATTGAAGGATTTACAGAAACTTAACCGTAAATTAACTAAAATAAATAGCCATCTCATATAAACTAATCTCCAAAGGACGTAAAGCTAAATTATTTATGAAAACCCCATGGTGTCATGCTATAAATAAACACGAGATACCTGAAGACGACAGGCCAATGTTGAAACATGAGGTTTGTGTTCTCTACATTAAATATTTTTCATTGTGCTTATAAATCTTTGTTTGTCAGTTTACTGTAACAGAATATGATAAACGATGTGCATCTGAAGACAAATCATATAACAGATAACACAGACTCCATCAACCTGAACACAAATCATATAACACAGACTCCATCACCCTGAAGACAAATTATATAACACATAACACAGACTCCATCAACTTGAAGACAAATCATATAACACATAACACAGACTCCATCAACTTGAAGACAAATCATATAACACAGACTCCATCAACCTGAAGACAAATTATATAACACAAACTCCATCAACCTGAAGACAAATCATATAACACA